AGGTTACTCAGGGACACAGAATTGTTACTGAGGGCCACAGAACTGTTACTTAGGGCCACAGAATTGTTACTCGGACAGACACAGAATTGTTACTCAGGGACACAGAATTGTTACTGAGGGCCACAGAACCGTTAACTTAGGGCCACATAAACGTTAATCAGGGACACAGAATTGTTACTGAGGGCCACAGAACCGTTACTTAGGGCCACATAATTGTTACTCAGGGACAGACACAGAATTGTTACTGAGGGACACAGAATTGCAGCAGAGGAAGGGGTCGAGGCAGCACTATTCGCAGCCAGAGGCCAGTGCTCCCGGTGTCATCCAGCGGTCGTGTCTCCACCGACAACCCTGCCGTCATCGATTGGTTGGCTCGGTCGTCTTCCTCTTCCCAGGTCACCTCTGACACCTACAGCCAACGGTCGGTGGGTACGTCAGACACAACCGTTAGTTGGCATGGCCCGGGACCAAGCCCACTGAAATCACGTGTCCTCTACCTGCCCCTGTCCTTTGGTGTTCCCTCACCAAGCGAAGTATCGCATGCTGTGGGCTCAGCCCCACTGTACAGTGAGGAAGAGCTAACAGAGGGCGGTCAGGAACGGGGGGAGACATCCGCCTTTTCAGCAGCCAGGCGAAGAAGTAGTGGCGAGGAGAGTGGCTCGGTAGCCGGTCTAGAGACAGGTCTGTCTCCTGACCCAGACGCAGCCGAGGGGGCTAGTAGTGAGGCGGAGACCCTACTTGATGATGAGGAGGTTGATCGCACTTGGCAGCCTCGTCGTCATCAGGCAATTTCTTCCGCATCATCAGGAGAAGAGGGTGGCAGCTTGGCAGCGAGCAAAACAGTCGGTGGGTTGCCCAGGAGACAGCAGCAGGGTCGCAGCAGTGTCAGTGGAGAGCCAAACGGCCACGGAGTAGAGCACCAGCTCCACTGCAGCCTACCACCACGGCCAGTAGTGGTGCCGGTGTGCACGGAGGAAGCAGCAGTCAGCCAGTGAGGAGTATCGGGGGCAAAGTTTCCTACTCGGCGGTGTGGCAATTTTTCGTCAAGCCGCCCGAGGAAGTAAACGTAGCCGTATGTCGACTATGTGGCCAGAAAGTCAAGCGTGGCCAGGGGGCCCATGTTGGGACTACAGCGTTGCGGCAGCATATGCAGCGTCGCCATTTGGTGGCCTGGGAAAACCGTGATAAAGATACGGCGGTTCTGCCCGCCCCCCCCCCGCTCCATCACCCCGCTCCGTTACTTGCTCCGTCACCCGACGTCAATCGCCCTCCCATCAGCCAGTCAAGGCTCCAACACCTCTGCTGAGGGGAGTTGTCGCTCGTTGGCATCTTCCGCTCGTTCAGATGCTCCTTCTCCTGCTACTCCTCTTCACGGATTCCGTCAGCAGTCTTTCTTGGAATCCGTTTCCAAGAGACAACAGTTTGCGAGCACGCACCCGACGGTGCAAAAGCTGAACGTCCTCCTGTCCAAGTTGCTGGTGCTGCAGTCCCTCCCTTTCCAAGTGGTGGACTCAGCACCTTTCCGAGAAATGATGGCTTGTGCCGCGCGCGCGGTGGAGAGTGCCAAGCCGTCATTTCTTCGCCAAAAAGGCAGTGCCAGCCCTGCATTCACATGTAGAAGAGAGATGGTGGGCCAGTCTTTGAGCATGTCGGTCTCTGCCAAAGTGCACGGCAGCGCCGACGTGTGGAGCTGTAACTACTACGGTCAGGGACAGTACATGTCATTTACGGCCCACTGGGTGAACGTGGTGCCGTCACACAGCCGCACCAGCAACTTGGACAGGTCACGCCGCTTTTGCCTCCACGTTTGCACGTCCTTGGTCCGGCAAAGATGTCCGCCTCTACCACCTCTTCTTCCGCCGTGTCCTCAGCCGCCACCCCCCCGTGCCAAGTCCCATTACCCGACCGGCATATCACATGTGCAGGGCGCAACGGTGTCACGCTGTGCTGCACCTGGTATGCCTTGGCGAACGTAGTCACACAGGGGAGGAACTTCTCAGTGTAATGAACAGAGAAATCGACAGATGGCTGTCTCCGCGCAAACTGAAAATCGGAACCATGTTGACCGACAACGGAAAGAACATGGTGTCTGCTCTGCGTCAAGGAAGGTTGTGCCATGCGCCATGCATGGCTCACGTGTTCAATCTGGTTGTCAAGCGGTTCCTAAAATCCACCATCCCACTGCAAGACATCCTTAAAATGTCACGTAAACTTTGCATGCATTTCAGCCATTCCTACACCGCAAAGCACACCCTCCTTGAGCTGCAGCGGCGGCAGAACGGAATTCCACAGCATCGCCTGATCTGCGACGTTGCAACAAGGTGGAATTCAACCCTACACATGTTAGACCGCCTTTACGAACAGCGAAAGGCCATCACCGATTTCCTGATGTTACAAGCGGATAAAGGTACTCCCCTGTGTAACTTCGATGTCAGCCATTGGCAGCTCATGCGTGACACCTGCCGCTTGCTCAGGCCCTTTGAGGAGGCCACGCTATTCGTGAGTCGGCAGGACTATGGGATGAACGACGTCATTCCTCTGTTGCACGTCCTGGAACAAATGCTGTTAACAATGGCTGGTCAGGGTGCGGTAGACGTGGCGCACAGATCTCAACGCCACATGACCCCTGTGGGGGCAGGACAGGAAGAAGAGGAGGAGGTAGAGGAGGACATTTGTGCTCAGGAATTATTGAGTGAAATGGGTGTTTTTTCCACTCAGCGGACAGGAGTGGAGGAGCAGGAGCATCTGGTAGAGGAGGAGGAGGAGGAGACAGAGGACCCAGACGCACCGTGGCAGTATGCTGTGGAGATGGAGGCAGGGAGTCCCTCGCATTCCTTGGCACAAATGGCCCATAGCATGCTCGCTTGCTTGCGTAGCGACAGCCGAATAATAACCATCAGACAGAGGGATGATGACTTTTGGCTGTCCACCTTGTTGGACCCTCGCTACCGTTCAAAATGGTGGCCTTTTTCACACCTGCTGAGAGGGAGGCCAAAATAACGTACTATAAAAACCACCTATGTAGTCAGTTGGTCTCTGCCTTTGTGCGCCAACGTCCATCCTCAGACACTGTGGGCCCTGTGCGCTCGCGTTCCGCTGCCATGGCAGCAGGGGAGGGGTGGGGTGGTAGGAGCAGTGGCAGCTCCACCAGCAGCGGCTGCCTCAGTCTGCAGTCGATGATGAGTAGCTTTCTTCACCAGCGCAGTGAGGAAACTACTAACCAGCCGCAGCAGCAGCAGCAGCATCAGGTGGACCTGGAGCAGGACCTCAAACAACAGGCTTGGGCCTACTTGGACAGCACCCTGCCAACCGAGGTAGACAATCCCCTTGACTACTGGGCAACGAAACTTGACCTTTGGCCCCAACTAGCTGAATTTGCCCTTGAAAGGCTGTCATGCCCGGCCATAGCGTGGCATCGGAGCGCGTGTTTAGTGCGGCAGGAGGTATTGTAACTCCGCGGAGGACACGACTGTCCACCCCAAGTGTGGAGAGACTCACGTTTGTGAAAATGAATCAGGCGTGGATTAGTCTGGATTTCAAACCACCAGTTCCTGACACAACTGACTAAATCCGCCATGAATCATGCCCCAAACATGTGCCACTTTCAGGTCTCCTCACACTGCTGGTGTGTTCCATTTTTTGTCATAGGGTGCTGGCAGATTACGGGCCTCCCATAGCTGCTGCCAGGCCCCTAATCTGCCATGGGCCCCTAACCGCCTCCTCATGCTGCTGCCAAGTCCAGAGTCTCTCATGGGTCCCTGTACGGCCTCCCATTGCTGCTGTCTCCATCGCCACACTCTGCCATGTGCCACTTTCAGGTCTCCTCACACTGCTGGTGTGTTGAATTTTTTGACATAGGGGTGCTGGCAGATTACGGGCCTCCCATAGCTGCTGCCAGGCCCCTAATCTGCCATGGGCCCCTATAACCCGCCTCCTCCTCATGCTGCTGCCAAGTCCAGAGTCTGTCATGGGTCCCTGTACGGCCTCCCATTGCTGCTGTCTCCATCGCCACACTCTGCCATGTGCCACTTTCAGGTCTCCTCACACTGCTGGTGTGTTCCATTTTTGACATAGGGTGCTGGCAGATTACGGGCCTCCCATAGCTGCTGCCAGGCCCCTAATCTGCCATGGGCCCCTATATACCGCCTCCTCATGCTGCTGCCAGGTCCAGAGTCTCTCATGGTCCCTGTACGGCCTCCCATTGCTGCTGTCTCCATCGCCACACTCTGCCATGTGCCACTTTCAGGTCTCCTCACACACTGCTGGTGTGTTCCATTTTTAGGGTGACATAGGGTGCTGGCAGATTACGGGCCTCCCATTGCTGCTGCCAGGCCCCTAATCTGCCATGGGCCCCTATACCGCCTCCTCATGCTGCTGCTGGGTCCAGAGTGTCTCATGGGTCCCTGTACGGCCCTCACCATTGCTGCTGTCTCCCATCGCCACACTCTGCCATGTGCCACTTTGAGGTCTCCTCACACTACTGCTGTTTCCATTTGTCATAGGTTGCTGCGAGATTACAGGCCTCCCATAGGTGCTGCCAGGCCCCCCCGTAATCTGCCATGGGCCCTATAACTGTACCGCCGCCTCCTCACGCTGCTGCCAGGGTCCACAGTGTGTCATGGGTCCCTGTAACCGCCTCCCATTGCTGCCCACTCTGCCATGTGCCACTTTCAGAGGGTCTCCTCACACGCCTGCTGGTTTCCATTTTTGTCATAGGTTGCTGTATGGCCTCCCATTGCTGCTACCGCCTCCACCGCCACACTGTGGCTCCAAACACTGGTTTTGGCCCCGTGACTGGCCAAATTTTTCATAGTGTTGGCAAATTCACACGGGCACTCTCCATAGCTGCTTCGACTCGAATCGAATATTGGTCCACTATATTCGCCGAATCAGCTGCGAAAGTCGCAGAGTTTGAATACTCGCCATCTGCTAGCGATAATGGAAAATGGGGTGATTACGTGTTCCTGATCGTTCTAAAAGAGATTATAACTCGTATTAATAGCAACCAATTTTTGATTGGATACACAATGCACAGGGGAAAAGTATAGATAAATATTGAAGAATATCTTAAGTAAAGACATTTGGGGTAAGATAAATATGGTTACAACACCTCTCGGTCCCCATAGAATGATGATAGTACAAATCATACTCCACAAGAATGGTAACGATAGTTTGGGACACCAATGCACAAAACAGATGGGGTGGGAATTTAACCTCATGTTTAATACCCTATCCTAAACACAGATTTCTTCCCGCCAGGGAATGGAAAAAGAGTGCAGGGAGATGGATAATAAAAAAGGAAATGCACAATATAATAGATCTAATGACTGGTGAGGAAAAATGCTACCTTAGGGGGAAATGAAAAAGACTGTTAACAAGTTGTTTTTTAATAATGCCTAATGAGTGGCTTATTTACAAATGAAAATATTGTTATAGAAAAAACTCCGGATGCCCTTACGGAAGAAAGATAAGTGTAATCAAAGTTTGAACTTTTGTTTCGTACACACGGAGGGATGGAAAACCACGGAAACTCTCAAAAAATGTATAAAATCTCACTTACTAATTTAACAACAAGCCACGGCACCATAAGCAATTTATGAAAAAAAGGAAAGAGTAATAGAGAGTTAAGATCAAAGAAGTAAAACAAAAAAAGTAATTTATAAGTTAAGATACAGAGGTAGATGTAAGAATGAAGATAATTTAGTAAGATGATGAACTATAAATGTTTGAAAGGTCAGGTGGTATATTGACAAAAATAATAGTAACACAAAAAAATAGAAAGATATGAAAAACACCTGGAAATACAAAAGAGGGGTTGTGGGTCACAGCTGCACAGTAATCTGGACATAGGGTAAAAGAGAAGAAGTTTATAAAATCCAAGAAATATTGGGAAAAATAAAAGCAGGTACAAGAATAAGGGGGCTAAAAATCATAAAGGTACCAAGTAATAGTCCTATTTAGTTGCAACTTGGTAGCTAAATTAGAAAAAAATTCCTATAGATAACCCTGGGTCATTGTTGTACAGAAAACGCAGTGTTTTGAAAAAAGTTTTAATTCCTAAAATTCATGGAAGAAAAAAAGTAAAAAATATAAGATTGATTAACAGAGTAGAAGATATATTAAAAGAGGAATTATATACATTTAGATGAAGATAAAATTGGAAGGTTTTCGGTGAGAAACGGAAAAAGTGGGAGGATATTTTGGGAAGGTTTTAAACTTAATTGAAACATTAAATAAAGAAAAACCCTAGGACTTCAAAAAGATGAAATGTATGCTGAGGTGGAAGGGAGTACATTGGGAGGGAAGGGGAAGGAGGGGAAAGTACGAATGGAAGATGGGGGTGGGGGCGGGGGAAGGCATTTTGTATTTGTCATTTCAGTAGTGGGTTAAAAATTTTGGGATAAAATGATTGAATAAAGTGACATGTGGAATTTTATATTGGAATGGAATAGAAATGAAAAAATTTAATAAAAAATTAAAGGGGAAAGTATAGTGCTGTTACCATAAAATTGCTGGTCCTTGTTGGGTGTAAAGTATGCTAAGTTCATTTTTTTTTTTGTACGCAGCCTGTGGATAGGAAATGAAAAAAAAAGAAACTAGAAATCTCTATCAAAGAAAAAGGTAAAGTGGTAAACATAATTAGAATATTCCTCCCTGATCCACCCACTTCTAATGGTGGGCAGACATTAGGTCAAACTTATGTCAACAAGAAAATTCCAAGAGGTGTAACAAATGTCTAAATAGTGGTACACACTTTGAATAATACATTGACGTATAAGTGGTACCTCATATTGAAAAAGATGAGGTAACCAAGATAAACTAATCTTGTCACTGCAAAATGTAGTCTAATTCTGGGCATCTGGGGTGCTACGTGACTATCATAAGTTCCCTCATAAATTCTAAAACTTATAAGTATAGAGAGTAGAAAATGTGTGCCCTCTTCGAACAGGTCTTCTAAAATCTTGGACAATATCTGGCGCGCTTGCTGGGAGAAATTGTTTAAGAATGCAAGGGGGCCAGAAAAAATAAGTCAGGACATCATTAAAGATGTTTTGCTGGGAGTATAGACAGAAAAAAATTTTTGGTTAAGGTGATTTGCGAGGGGCTGAATTAAAGTGGAGCCAATCAAATTCAGGGTCAACCCAGATGAGACAGAGGGTATTGCCGTTGAAAGTTGCATAAAACACATTATGAAAAATCATATCTAAGCCTGGAACAATGGCAGCAGAGAACACGGCATATGATAATGAATCGGGTCTGAGACCAATAGAAACCCGCAATTCAATTTCTTTAAGTAATGCCCATTGTTGAGGGTTAGGCCCCAAAAACAATGTAAATTCGAAACCAAAAAATGAAAAAGATCCATGCGAAAAGTCTAGCAAGGTTTGAATTTGGGATGGCGGCGATAAATTGTTGGTGCATATAAATTGAAATTTGTTCCACAATCAACAGATTAATACAGAATTCCGTGAAAAACACTCTGAAAATCAAGTTGGAGTAGTTAAAGGGGGCTATTTCCACCTGAAATTCTGGGTTGGGCAGTGAATGGGGGAAGTTAAGGTGCTGCAGAATATGGAGGGCTGTCAATTGGATTTGACAAGCACATCCGGAAGGAAACTAGGAAGCTCAATGGGCCTGTGTTGCGAATTCTTGGTGGCTGCGGACAATACTTATTGCAAGAGGATCTCGCCACCGCACCGGCTTGTACTGGACTTATGGGACTCGCCACGTCACCAAAGATCATACTGCAGTTAGTGCTTGGTATTATTATTATACAGTGATGCTTCCGTATAAATAGCCAACAGTTTTGCTCAGCGCTTAATACAGTATAATAAGGAGAGACAATACATCAACAATACATTTCAATACAAGAATCCATTAGGAGGGCCCTGAATCCAGGGAGCAACAATCTAAGATATATGTGAATTTGACCAAGATGTACTAACCACTGGAACTCGCCATTCACCAAAAGGTAGCAAGGCACTAGTCTGGCACACTGCTGCTTATAAGAAAAGAACAACTGACATGTTTTATAGCAAAAATGTCCAAAATAAATTGATTTATATTAGAAATCTCAAAATTGTCAGACTTTTTTTTTTATAGCGCAGTGAAAATTAAAAAAAGCAGTGGGGCAGGTGATCAAATAACTGTAACCAAAAGAAGCTCAATTCGTGGGAAAAAAGGAGTAAATTTAATTTGGGTGCAGTGTTGCATTGACTGCACATTTGTCATTAAAGTAAGCAGCAAAGTAACACAAACCGCTTCTGAGATTAATCTATAAAACCAATTCTTGACACGTTGCTAAATAGCAGAAATACTATACAAGCAGGCGACATGGGGTCGCAAAATCAATAATATAGACTATATATCTTAATACATATATAAATATATATACATGATTTGTAGAGAAGAGCGAATTATTCAAAAATTCGATTCGTAAAAGGGTTTCTAGGCTTCAGAGAGCCTTTATATTAGTGCAGAACACTGTACCATTAATTTAAATGCCCTTGGAGTCTGCTGGGGAAGAGAAAATAATACTGTCAGTCAGTATGACATGCAGATGAGTGCCGTCGATCTTAGAATCACCGCACACTTCACTCATTTGGGCAACGGGGCACGAACGAAGGAGAAGAAGAAGAAGAAGAAGAATGAAAAGAAGAAGAAGAAGAATGAAGAAGAAGAAGAAGAATGAAAGAAGAAGAATGAAGAAGAAAGAAAGAATGAAAAAGAAGTAAGAAGAAGAATGAAAAGAAGAATGAGAAGAAGATAATGAAAAAAGAAGAAGAAGAATGAAAAAGAAGAAGAAGAATGAAAAGAAGAAGAAGAAGAAGAAGAAAGAATGAAGAATGAAGAAGAAGAAGAAGAATGAAAAAAAGAAATGAAGAGAAGAATGAAAAGAAGAAAAAAGAAGAAGGAAGAAGAATGAAGAAAGAAGAATGAAAAAGAAGAAGAGAGAAGAAAAAAGAAGAAAAGAGAAATGAAAAGAAGAAGAAAAGAAGAAGAAGAAGAATGAAGAAGAAGAAGAATGAAAAGAAGAAAAGAAGAAGAAAGAAGAAGAAGAATGAAAAGAAGATGAAGAAGAAGAAAAAAGAAAAATGAAGAAGAATGAAAAGAAGAATGAAAAGAGAAAGAAAAGAAGAAGGAAGAAGAAGAAGAAGAAAGAAAGGGAGAAGAAGAAGAAGAAGAAGAAAAGAAGAATGAAGGGAAAGAAAGAAGAATGAAGAAGAAGAAAAAAGAAGAAGAAGAAGAATGAAAAGAAGAAAGAAGAAGAAGAAGAGAAGAAGAAAAGAAGAAAAGAAGAATGAAGAAGAAGAAGAAGAAGAATGAAAAGAAGAATGAAAAGAAGAAGAAGAAGAAGAAGTAGAAGAAAATGAAAAGAAAGAAGAAGAAGAATGAAAAGAAGAAGAAGAAGAAGAAGAAAAGAAGAAGAAGAAGAAGAAGAAGAAGAAAGAAGAAGGAAGAAAAAGGAAAAGAAGAAGAAAAGAAGAAAAAGAAGAAGAAGAAGAAGAAAGAAGAAGAAGAAAGAAGAATGAAAAGAAGAAGAGAAGAAGAATGAGAAAGAAAGGAAGAAGAAGAATGAAAAGAAGAAGAAGAAGAAGAAGAAGAAGAAGAAGAAGAAGAAGAAGAAGAATGAAAAGAAAGAAGAAGAAGAATGAAAAGAAGAAGAAGAAAATGAAGAAGAAGAATGAAAAGAAGAAGAAGAAGAAGAAA